TTAATAAAATAAAAAGAGTAAATTAGTAAATTTTGACATATAAGATTACAAAAAAAATTATAGAAAAAAAGTTGTCTCCCAATCTTTTTTTTTTTTGCTTACTCCAGAGAAAACAAAGGGGGAAAAGGGAAAAAAAAGAAAAAGGAAAGGGTAGTAGTGAAAACTAAAAAGGAATCAAAGTCCCAAACTTATTTACTTTTCTTTCCCCCTTCTTTTTCTCTCTTTCTCACTCTAGTGCCCTACCCCCCACGTTCACAAAACAAATACCCCTTTCTTTCTCTCCCCATATAGCTAGCCCCTCAAGTGTCATTTTCTCACATATACTTCACACAAAAGAAACAACCATTCACTTCATACACCTTGTCATTTCTTCTCCTTCCTTTCTCTCTCTTTTCTCTCTCTTTAGTCCTTTCTCTCTCTCAATCTCTAATCCCTGCAACCACTCCCCCCATCAAAATTCATCAAACCCATCTCAAGAAACCCCCAGAAATCTCTCCTAAAAAATACTCAGAACCCTTTTGCTACATAGATCACAGTATTCCATCCTTCATAGCTAGCTAGACAGCTACATATAGTTAATATACAACCACACCACAATAAGAAGAAGAGGAGGAGAAACAAGGAGAACAGAAAGAGAGGAAGAAGAGAAAAGGGTTTTGTTTTGTTGGGTTTGTTTCTGAGGATGGAGCTGTTTCCAGCACAACCAGATTTATCCTTGCAAATCAGTCCACCAAACAGTAAACCAGCATCCACATGGAGGAGACCAGGAACAGAAGAGAACATGGATTTGGGGTTCTGGAGGAGAGCTCTGGACTCAAGGAACTCCATGTCCTCAATGGCAAAACCAGACACCTGTTTTGAGCTCTCTTTATCCAATCCAAGGGTTTCTGAGTCCAACTCCAACCACCTTCACCTCTTTCAAAATAGTAACCCCAATTGCAATGGTAATCTCTTTCATTCCTATCACCAAAACCACTATAGTAGTACTCTTCACCAACATCCGGTACTTTATCAACATCAACAGCACCATCATCATCATCAACAAGGGTCCTTAGGACCAGAACTTGGTTTCTTGAGACCCATAAGAGGAATTCCGGTCTATCAAAACCCTCCTCCTCCCACTGCTTTCCCATTTGCTCAGCAGCCTTTGGATTCTCCTTCTTCTTTGGGGAGTACTAATAACAGCAACACTAGCAGTAACTTGAGCCCTTTTCAGATGAGATCGAGATTTATGTCGAGGTTTCCAGCTAAACGCAGCATGAGAGCTCCAAGGATGCGGTGGACTACTACACTTCATGCTCGCTTTGTTCATGCTGTTGAGTTATTAGGTGGCCATGAAAGTATGCTTCCTTTTTCACAACTCTCTTTTCACACCATTGCTCCTCTTGATTTTTAGCACCTTTGAAACCATAAAAAGAAAATTGACTCATCATGTTGTTTTGTTTAAAGGAGCTACACCCAAGTCCGTTCTTGAGCTAATGGATGTCAAAGATCTCACCTTGGCACATGTTAAATCTCATCTACAGGTGAGCATATATTTGGTATCATTTAAAAAAAAATTTATTTCGACAGTGCAAACAGTTCTTGAGTTCCTAGTCCCTCATGTAATCTCCAATGGTTTCTCTTTTGAGGGGCTTTTTTTCTCTCTATTTTTTTTTTTTAAATGTTTTTTGAGGAATAGAATCTTCAAATATTTTGCTTTTCTCCTTCTTATTCTTGTTCCCTTAAGCTGAAGCTGTAGCTTCTTGATGCAGCCTTTTTAATGGGGGGGTTCATTAGAGGAAGCTGAAATTGCATTTTTAAAGTAACAGACTGCATTAGATGAAGGTTTTAATGAAATAAATTACAAATTCCAATGCTTCCCTTGGCAGAGGGTCTCTCAAATCCTTAGCACTTCTTTTTCTACTAGATCTGATGCTTCTGCAACCTAATAAACAGCTTTTTGCTTGGAAGAATGAACCACCCCAAGTAAAAGCATAAATTTTTTTAAAAAAAGGTCATGTAAGACAAAGCCCAAAATATTCAAAAACCAGTCATAGCCAAGCCATGACAACTTCCTTACTCAGTCTCCATCATTTCCTCTTTAAAAATTGTTTTCTTTCTTTCTTTCTTTCTTTTCTTTTTCTTTTTATTTTTATTTAAAAAATCTCTTATCATAAACCTGGAAAAAAGATAAAAAAAAATATATAGTAGTTAGCATAGGAGAAGTACAGAACATTATGATTTCTCAATGATATAATTCCTCAGAGTTGATATTTTAACCCATGCTATCCCTTCCCTCTCTTAACCATGGTTAAACACATGCATTCATTTATTTTATTCATTCATACAGCTAGCTCATATGCTGCATCCTTATTTCAATTTTATCAAAGACCTTTCTTTTTTACAGTTTGTACTTGCAGACTGTGACATTCAATATTGTCTGCAGTACAGTGAACAGTAGATATATAATTTCTTCCTTCCCCCTCCCCCTTTTTTTTGTTTTCTGTCGTATGTTTTGGTAATATTCATTAAAATGTCGGTACAATGTACACAAATATACGGAAAATTGGAAAACAAATAAAATTTATTATCAATTGAATTTCTTCCTGAATATATATTTTTGGCAGATGTATAGAACGGTGAAGACAACAGACAAATCAGCTGCTTCTTCAGGTAAATATTTAGTTCTTCAATATTTTGAGAATCAGTTGCTGAAATTAGTGTATATTTGACATCCTTCATTTAATCAGTTTCTGGGCAATCAGATGCTTTTGAGAATGGATCCTCGGGAGATACTTCTGAGGACTTGATGTTTGACATTCAGAACCCAAGAAGGTCTGAACTATCCTCTGTTCAACAGGGAAGACCAAATGTTCATCACCAAGAAAAGGATCAGTACCATGGCCTATGGAGTAATTCTTCAAGGTGAGAAAAAGAAAGCTTTGGTTGTAATTGTAATCCAAACTAGTCCTTTGCCAATTTTCTTTTCATATGCCTGCCTACCGTTTTGGTACATACAACAGTTAAAGAGGACAAGCACATTTTTCTTTTTCTTTTTTTTTTTTAAAAAAAGGTTAAATTTTATTATAAGGAGTTCAAGGGTAGTTTTACCCAGAACAGTCACATTATTTTGAACTTTTCCAAGTTCTTTAAACTTCTTTTGATTTTAGCTTGAATAAATATCTTCATCCCAATTGTCACATTACAATTAGTAAACAAGACAATTACAGTCTAATGAAAGAAACTTCTGGGTTTCTTTACTCTTTTAACTAATGTTTTGTAATAAGAAATCTTGTGTTGGTTCTGCCTGCCTTTGTCTTTTGTTTTCGAGTGCTTGTTACATGTATACAATCATGCAAACATGGTTACATAAAAGTAATCACAAAAGGAGGAATAAGTGATGATGTGTTCTTTCTGTCCTGGAACATGAACATTGGAACAACATGATAGGGTAATTATATTCTTTTATAGAAGTGGGTGAAGAGGTAAAAGAAAAGAGAACCACCAGTGCTCTCTCCTCCTTATCAGTCCAAGACCTGATCAGAAATCTCAAGTGACAAATCCTGCTAGCTAAAAAATGGAGATATCTCTTTCCTCTAGATTTTGTGGGCTCAGATATAGGGCAAATAAATGGGGCCTACAAATGGAAAACTTAGTGTCAAAGCTAAAACGTTTGAAGGACCCAGTGGTGGAAATCTTGGTATTAAAGCTATGCCCTTTGAAAATTTGTTTATGTGGTAGTGTTGTTATGGGTAATGGGCAAGCACATGGGTGCATACAACTTTATTTCAATCTATAAAGTTAAGGGACTATAAACAAGACAGTAAAAGATGGCTTTCTTTTTCTCAGTTTGCTTTTTTCTTCTGCATGGCTTCCACTGATAGGAAATATTCTCCCTCTGTGTTGGTTTGTAGCAGGGAAGCCTGGTTGCATGGGAAACCAAAGGATTCTGGTGGAAACTTGCCATCTCTTGAGGTACCCCATTTCAGACTTTTCTTTCCCAAAATGACCTTCACCTTTTCTGCCCAATATTTCTCAGACCTTTATAGATAGCATTGAATGAATGAAATAAATTAAAGCAAGGAAAAGAACTGCTTTATCCTTTTTCTTTATCAAGCCATGCACATTAAGTAGTTCCTTGCTTTTGATGTCTAAAGAAGTATAGGAGTAAATGAAAATACCCCTATGAACTTATATATTCCTTCTTCAAAAGCAAAATTCCTTTAACAAAGCTGGTTGAATAATTGAATTCAAAAATCCTAGGGGGCTATTTAGTCATTATAATAGGTCCAAGAAAAGAAAAGAAAGATTTCTTTAATGTTCCAATCTTCATCATTAATTTGCTAAAACCCTAATTCCCAGAAACCTAACTATATTCAACTTTACTAATGTTTGACCTAGCTATATATAGATGTTGCAGATCAATAAGTGAGTCAAATGCATAATGTGATGAATATTATACTATTATTAAGGGAGAATTGAATATAGTATTGGGAGTAGAGTAGCAAACTGTACAGACTGTAGCAGGCTTTGAAAATGTTACTGTATAGCTGGGAAATGTTTCTTTTTCCTTTGATAAATATTCTATTATTCCCTGAGTCAAGGTGTCCTTTGATTCCCATTATCCTCACACATCTTATGCTGCTGCCATGCTACCACTCTTGTTCATGGTAATTTATTGCATCCCCTTTATTTTCTTTTCATGACACTCTTTTTTGCACTTTTTCACAGAAGGATATGGATCCAAAGTGCTTGAGCCATGAGAGAATATCAGATGTGAGCTCTCCAAACCTTTCAGTGACAAGCCCTAAGAAGCCTAATTTGGAGTTCACCTTGGGCAGGTCACATTGATATCTCTATGCATGTGTGTGTACTCATTTTGAAATGATTATATGTGTCTGAAAGGGTGAAGAGAGAATCTGGTACCCTTTCAGAGGGAAAAAAAATATCATCAGAGAAAAAGAAAAGGAAAAGAAAAGTAAAGAGAAAAGGAGAAAAAGAGAGCTAAAGAAAGACAAGGAGACAAGAAAGACAGAAAGCAACAAAAGGAGAAGGGTGGAAAAGCATGTCTTTCCTATCAAGCTCTATGAGACGAGATCTCCAAATCCCAGATATTATAATATTTCTATGAAATTATGAAATCTAATTGATTTTGTATGTTTTTGGGTTTTAGAGGGAGAAGAAAAGGAGATAGAGAGAGAATGACCTTTAACTATTTTAAGTATCAAGTGATTCTTGGTAATTGTAATGGAACCTCTTTATAAAATAGTTTGGAATTTTTCCAAAGGAGATTTTGGGGTTATCCTTTTTCTTTAATTTCCATCCAGAGGCACCCGACTCAAATGTTTGCTTTTTAACCCTTAACAATTTTTTTTTAAAAAAAAAAAAAAAGTAAGGAAAAGTTCTTTAAGGTTTGTGATAGTAATTGATTAAGAATTTGAACTTTTACATTGATTAAGATATCAAATTAATTTAAATTTTGAGATGTGTAAAAAAAAAAAGAGAAAATGAAAACATTGTTTTTGTTATATAATTTATTATCAGACCCGAAAAAAAAGAGAGGAAAGTATGATATTGAAGCCTTCATGAAAATTACTAATTTAAGCTGGAAATTAACAACAAAAAAATGGGTAAGATACAAAAAGAAAGGTGAAATGAAAAGTTAAAGTTTTCTGCTTCCTTTCCCGAAAACAAATGAAATTAGATGATCTTTCATTCTTTGTTTGTAAGGAGTCTGGATCAGATAATGCCGAAATTATAAGCCTTTAGATGCATGGTAGCCCTAAGAACATTATTCCGGCAATCATTGCCTTTTGTCATTTCACTTTAAAATTAAGAAATGGATAATAAAGCATACTTTATTGTTGTTAGCTTTTATAAAAGATTTGTTGAAGTCTTCAACTTGCATTTCTATGCATGGTTTGCCCAAAGGAAGCTTCCTTGAAAGTGTAGCTAAACATTAATTCCTCATACTTCTAGATTTTAATCCTTTTAAAATGTTTTTAGTACTATAACTAAAAGCCATATATGTTCTTTCCTAAGTCAGTTTATATGTATCTTGAAATTAAATTCTCTTCAAATAATTTTAAATTGAAAGTTAAATGTGCTGTTGAACTTCTAATACATTATATAACTCAAGTGTCAAATCAAAGTTTAGGTAGCTAGTGTACAAATTAATTAATTGAATTTGAAAAAGGAGTTAACATATATAGGAAGCTAGAATTAATTAGTTGGGTGATTCTGTTAAATGTGATCACATACCAAGGAAGAAAATGAAAGCCAAAAATGTTGAAATGAATAATATGTGAATAACCCCACAAAGCACTAGCTATAGCTAGAAATTCAAAGAGAGCGATTGGAAAAGATCTAAGGAAAAAGTTTAGCTAGGGAGGAAGAATTAATGTGCGAAGACAACAACATAAAGTCCTTTTTGTACACAAAGATTCCTACCAATATTTTGTTCTCTAGTCAGATCTGTTTCCTTCATAAGCACAAAAGCATTAGTCCGATCATCAAATTCCCAATTCATTATGCTAGATTAATTGGCAACTTATCGTCGCACCGGGCAGTAGATAAAAGGTCCAATATATTTGTTGCTTGGTCACAATCGTCGGTGATCACGTAAATGACTGATAAACCCCTATTTGATGTAGATTTTTGATAACCCGGGAAGGATATTTTGGTCAATATAGACCATTAGTTTAATGGAGAAAGAATTAAAATTGACATGCCCTCTCAAACCAGTAGGTCCACAATATTGCTAATAATTAACTTTTAATATCTCCTCCAAATTTTTGCAATCCTAAAACAAGGAAAGGCCTAATGACTGGCAGATTCAGATATGCTCCATAAGAGGAAGACAAAGGGACATCACTTCAAGGCATTGAGGAAAATTTTGGTAAGTAATGTCCAAAGCTTTGATGGAGAAAATGTATGGTCCAAAAGCAAAAGCTTGAATTGGACAATAATAAAACACTCATACTTTTTCTTTTCAACTATTATTCCATTACTAAAACGAGGACTCGATAACAGAAAAAAAAAACTTGCCTAAAATTCACTATTTGACAAAGGAAATTATGTGAAATAAAGCAATATGCCATTGGAGTAGCATTTGTTAGTTTTAATTAAGCCATATCTTGAGAAAGAGATAACTTCTAAAATTCTATAACTCTCTCCTAACTTTAGTGGTGAACTTTGAGACGGTGTAGTTTTCTTGGCAAATGCCTCAGCCTTTTTGTGAATATTGCATGTGGGTTTGCAACTTTGCTTTATGAGGCAAAAAAAGGAAGAAAAAGGACAAGGTAAGAAAATCATGGAAAGAAGATGGGTTAATTCTTTGCCTTGCTTTGCGTTGTTAGTTGAGGGCTTTACGCTTTGCATAAATGGGAGAGGAAAGTGACATGATTTTTTTATTTATATTTATATTTTTTTTTGAAAAAAATAGAGGGTCATGGTGTCAAAATCCAAGGGAGAAAATTAAAAGAAGAAAAAAGGAATAACTTTTCCTTTAGGTTTTTCACCTTTATTAGCTTTGCTGAGGTTTCACACAAAGGAGATGGGTTCACTAAAGCTTACATGAAAGGACCAATATGCTCTTAAGGGAGCAGACAGATTAGCAGATGAATTAAAGTTACTAACTGACCCCAAAAAAATTCATTTAAGATGAATAAAGAAAAGAGGTATAATGGGGCTTAATTTTGTCCAAACAACTCAAAGAATCAAATAAAGCCATCACCTAAAGACATATTACATCAAATTGACAACAAAAAGTTGATTTCAAACGTGTGAGCTATAAAAATATGTCAAAGTAATATTTTTTTTTATGAGAAAAGTTAATACGTTAATCAATTAACCCAAGGGAGTTGGTGTGATTGGAAAAGGTATTTGCTCAATCAATAGCTTTTTCTTTTTTGACCAAAACTCAAATTCTTTGGGAGAGGTGCGAATATTACACTAGCTAGTATGTTGATTGAATTAAAGTGGTAAATGTTGTCTAATGTGTGCAAAATTTAAAATACTATTTTTGTCCTTTAGAAATTTTAAAACACTTTATATAAATTTTAAGAAAGCACTTTAGAGTGAAGAAAGGGATTTACTTTAAAATTTTATAAGTCTAATTATTACAATTTGATTAGTTTGAAAGAAACATAAAAAAGAAAAAAGAATGTAACATTATTTCAATTAATTAAATTAGATTGTAAGGCCAATAAAATAATTTGATTAGTTATAATAATTTTTCCTCTGCCTTCCCTCCCCTCTCTCAAACCAAATATGTTATTAAGTTAAATTAATAATATATTTATTTTTTAAGAAATTGATAATATCGCATAACTTAATCTCAAGTCAAAGAATTGTTAATAATATAGAAGACTCTTTGTTAGTCAACTTAAATACTAAAACATTAAAATTTTAAATCTTCTCATCATGAATCATGAAAATGAAAGAAAATACATGAAAATCCCGTGCCCAAACCATTTACATTTCAAGGAAATGAAAGTGAAGAACGTTCATGCTAAAGAAGCCAAAGCCAATGCATACTAGCATGGTATAATATACCCTTTGCATGGTGAAGAGAGGAGAACATTGGGCAGATCCCACTCGACACATAATTTCACCAAATATAATTTTTTAGTAGTAAATATTAATTTAATTTTGTCAGTTTACCTTTCCAAAGTCATATGGGACAATAAATAAACCAGAGAATGGATCCCAAATTCCAATTAATTACCCTTGGGCCTTAAGAAATAGGGGCGTGGGCAACTTCCTCTGACCTACAAAGGTAGAGAGGCGCGTGGGGTTGGGGCTTAGGGCTTAGAGACAGAATGATAGAAAACAAAGGGTCGGGTTCGGTTGGAACATTATGATTATGCTTCTGCCACGTTGCATCTTACTTTTTTTACCAATTATTGCTTCCATCATTACATTTTCTTCTCTACTCTATCTATTCCTACTTTACTTTTTCCCCATCCAATTAGGTTTTTTTAATGATTGATTGATTTTCAGATAATGACTACTAATGAGGATTTCTTTTTGACTTGGGCTGAGTTCACACGAGCAATTTTTGCACAAATTATCAATAGAATACATAGAATCTTATTTATTTATTTATTTTTAAAATAATTGATATTTATTATAATTATTTTAAAAAAATTAATTATATTAAAATAAAATAAATATGAGTAAATTTTAATTATTTATAATTAAAAATGAATGATTAACATGTTTCAAAATTATTTTTTTATTTTTTTCTTAAATTATGATTTAGTTATAATATTTGTATTTACTTATAATATCCTTAAAAAATAAAAAAATATTTTTATTATATGATTAATTAAAATAAATAAATAATAATAAAATTAAAGTAAAACAAAATATTTATTTACCTTCGAAAATAAACAATGACAATTAAGTAAAATTAATTTTTAATAAAAAAACGATAATTATTTTGGAAAGAAAAGAGTATGATGGTTGATCCTAACTCCTTTTTAAATTGAAATTTAAATTACTTTTAAACTAATTATCATTTTTTTACTTTTTTAAAATGAAAAATTTAAAAATAATTTATGTACTTACTGATAATTACCCTTAAAAAAAAACTAAAGATAAATAGATATGTTTTGAGATAAGATGATCAATTAAAATAAATGAATAATGATAAAATTAAAATGAAAAAAATATTTATTTACTTTAAAAATTAAAAATTAATTTACAATAAAATTAAAAAAAAGAGAGAGAGAGAGAGAGAGGCGAAGAAGTATTATTTGAAATTTCAGACGGCTTAGCCGGTTAGCCTTGGCTCGATCGAGTCAGCTCTTTATCAAGCCATATTTGTACGGGCGCATGTCACGTTATGGTACTAATGTCTCTCTCTATATGTTATACGTGTGTATTTACCAAAAAAAAAAAAATGTTATACGTGTGTGTAAATATAATATATTTTAGCTATTTCATTTGTGTCTATTTATCTATTTGATTTATTTTTTTGTACTTTTTATTATTAAATGAAAATTAATTTTTTTTCATAAGTAACATTAAGGTGTGTTTTTATTCAATATATGATTGATAATTAAAATTTTTTTACAAAATAAAACTAGTCAATAAGTTTTATAGTATACATTGAAAAAAAAATTCATTGTCATTCATATATTATATAAAAATATTTATAAAATTACATGTGTAATTAATTGTATAGACAAATAAGTAAGAATAGAGGGAGTAGCCAAAATTATTAGACACGTGGTGTAGTAGATATAAAATCAAGGTTAATTGTTATATTTTA